TAAAAGCTTTTTCGCAAGCTTTAATCTATTCAAACTTTTTTCCTCCTTTTGTATTATTTGTTATTAATAATATAATATTGCTATAGCTGAATATAAAACGTTTATAGAAATTATAAAACTCTAAAAATGATAGTATCTTCTATATTGAATTTAATATTAACTATTTTGTAATTGAATTGATTCTAGTTTGATTTATAGCAATTCTTTAATCTGAGATAATATAGTCTAGAAATTCTATTTCTTTTATGCTGAATTAGCATTTTTCGAGTTTACAGAATAGCCTTTATTCTAATAGTTTCTTTAGGATTTGCTTTATGTGAGACTTGTAATCTTCTTTATTTTCTAAATAGATTAAAATGTTGTTTAAATATACAATAATCGATTTGTTGATAAATTCTTGTAAATATTGGTTGATATATATTTGAAAAGTAATTGAAATGTTATACAAACCAAATAATAATATTAAATATTCGAATAATCCGAAATATATACAAAAAGTTATTTTTTATTTGTCCCCTAAATAAATTCTTATCAAATTATAGGTTCTATATAGGTCAAGTTTCGTAAAAACCTTTACCTTTTTAAGGCAATTCAATATCTCTAAGATAAATGGAATAGGGTATCGATTTAGTATCATATTATTATTTATATTTCTAAAATCTATATATAGATATAACTTGTCGATATCTTTTTTATATACAAATAAAAATAATATTTCTACTTTTGATTTTGAAGATTTTATAAAACCTAATATAAGTATCTTTATAATATACTTTCTAAATACTTCAAATTCATACTCAAATAAGTTATACAACAATTCGAACTTTAATTAATAACTTTCTCGGAAAACGATTTTATAATCAATTTTAAATCTATAAGATAATAATTTCTCTACTTCTTCTTTATTAAATAATAAAATATACTTCAAATATACATCTGGGATTTTCCTAAACACTACCTAAATAATTACATAACCTATCCTGCTATTATTTATAAGTACTAAAAATAATAATACTACAACAATCGATTTTTTTTTTGGTATATTTTCCACTTTCTCCGCCACATCATATATAAGGTTTAAGAAATTAAATATATCTAATATAGTTTATAATTTTGAATTGTTATTATTAGACACCTTACCTAACCTCTAATCTATTTTCAGATTATACTATTAAAGTTATAAAAGTTCCAAAATAATATTACCTGTTTTTAATAATATAATTCTGAATTTTAATATTACACTATCCTTAACTAACAAACATTCAAAATCGATTTTCTTATAAACTGAAATAAATACTGATTCTAGAATATTTATATTCACATCCCTAATTAATAAGCAATATACATCTAACTCCTTATATTGGATTTGTTTGATTATATTTAAGAAAATGAAATTTACTATTACAATAGAATTGATAATTACTATAAATAATACTTTATTTCTATTTATATCCAGATAAGTAATACTTGTTATTTGAAAAAGATTTTTTATATTTAATATCTAAAAGAAATCTGCGGTATTTTCATAACTATAATATTAATAAAATTAATTCTTTATTTTTGTTAATAATTCTATATCATATAATCCTAATACTATTAATTGCTATAATTCCCTTTTTTATATTAAGATTAATATTAATAATATCTTTTCAGTTTGATTTGAGTATATTAACTGTATAACACTGGATATTTGATATTGGATTATTGTTTTCTATATTGGGTTTGATAATCGATAATTATATAAATTCTTATTCTTTCTTACGGTAACAACCAAAAACCTTTCTAGGTTTTTTTTTAATTCAGTATAACTTTTTTTGGAGTGATTATTCCTTTTGTATTTCAATACTTTTATTATTGAGGAAAGCTATTGTTTTTTGATTATTTATTTTCTTTTTTTCTGATTGACTGGTTTTTATAATTACTAGTTTAATAATCTACTTCTCTGTATTTAAAGTACATCTTATTTTCTTTATATTTCTTTTTTTGTTTCATTAAGATTTTGGGAAATCTTATTTCTTTTCTCTTTTTTTTATACAAATTATTATTGGATTTAATTAAATTGGAAATATTGCTTTGTGTATTCTTATCTAATTTTTTTTTTTTTTAAATCTTACTTGCTTATTATTAATTGGGAATAATCATTTTTATATTTATAAAAAGTTTTCTATATTTTGTACTGTTGTTTTTAGTTTTCTAAATATTGTAGATAGTACCCTATTATAATCTGTATAGATATGTGAAAGAATAGGTTTAATTAATTTTATAGAGTAATATACAACTATTGTTTAGTTTTTATATATTTATAAAATATTTTAAAGAATTAATTCGAAATAATTATTGAAATCTTGTACCATTTGCTTTTCAAATATAATAACTTTTGTTATATGGAGATTGGCTTTTAATTCTATATCAGTAGAATTATATTAATTAAATAATCAATTTTTTAAAAGATTTCAATTCTCGAATTTTATAATGATTAAAGGATTACTGTATAATTATACTAATATGATTTATTTTTTGATATCTCTACCAATATAATTTTTTATTAGTACTATCTGTTGTGTAGCATTTAAAATACCCTTTAATATAAAATAATCTTTTAATTCTATAATTTATAATTTAATATCAATTTTCCCTTTTTCAAAGGATAAAGATATTTTGATTCTAAATCTATCCCAAAAGGATCCTGTAAACAACATAAAAGAAACACTAACACCAATAATAATTAATACATTTTAGATACCTGATAATAGTTATCTACTTAATCTAATATCTATAAAAGCTTTTTCATTTACAAAGAATTATAAATTATCAAATCTTATAATATTATCAATCGATATATTATACATGGATGTTGCTAATTGATATTTTATTATTAATATTTTTATCTCTCTTTCTCTATCCTTTTCAGTTTATACTTTCAATTATCTCTTTTACTGAGCTATAATTCTTTATAATTCTTTTGATATATTTGAGTGAAGCGAGGAATCCCCTTATCTTGTAACAGCTTGACTGTTTATATCTTTTTGTGGGATATTTTGGTAATAACGATTAGCAGTAATTGATTATGATAAATAAGAATATGTTGGGGTGGGAATATCGTTTAATCTGGATAACAAGGAACTTTTATTTTGATTATCTGTTCGAGGGCTTATACTAGCTCTTTCCTCAAATCGATTTCAAAAATTCGGGTGGTTCATTCCTTTTTCGTTTTGATTTGTATTTAATTCTGATTATTTATCTCATCTAATAACTCCTTTCGTATGCAATTTTTCGGTTATTATTTATTTTGGTTGAGGGGTTTTATATCGTTTAGGGGATAATGGACTGAATGGTGCTTCTGGTTCTAGCAATTCTTGCAATCTTGTGTATCTGGTAGTTATCTTATCAACTTTTCCTTCTTTTGTAGTATATGGAGCTTGTGAATGATCCAGAATATACCTAGGTAATATTGTGAATCGTTGTGGTATTGTTTCGAAGAATGGTTTAATTTGTGTATTTGATAGTTTCTGTTTGATTCAAAAGTGAATCAATAACTTTGTGAGGAATCTGGGAAAACAAAAGAAGAGTATCAATTGTATGATGTAGTTATTGATGAAAAGCTAGAAGGAAGTTGAAAGCAAAGCTTCCAACTTATACTTGAGAAGCTAGCTAAAATGGCTAGTGTAGCCGGTCACATGCCCTCTGAGCACGTGCGCCCTCACACTTAATAAGAATTCCTTAGTTTTCCTTTTTGTATATAGACTACTATAAAATAAGTAAAATAAGCTTAATAAGAATTCCTTATAAACTTATCTCAAGCTCGAGCTCGAGCTTATCTCATTTAAACTATATAACTAATACAACTCCTAATTAATATATCTAATATCAATACAAGTATTTAATTCAGTATACAACCTTAAAAAGATTTATAAAATGAAATAAAAAGTAATGAAATTGTTAATTAGAATTCAGGAAATCGATTGCTATAATTCTTTTTAGATTATTTCAAAAACTGAAATTTATATTCAATATCAAAATACTTTAAGAAATTTCAAAAACGATTAAATTTCAATATTTAATTTTTTATTTTTTAAAATTATTAAATTGAATATAAATTTCAATTTTTGAAATAATTCAAAAAAAATTATATCAGTCGATTCTCTGAATTCTAATTAATAAATATATTTATTTTCCTTCTATTTTATATATCCTTTTAAGGTTGTATACTGAATTGATTTTCTTATATAAAAGTATACTACTAAATTCTAAATACAATTTAAGCTTAGGCAAAAATCTATTTTTGGGGTTTTGACCAAATGATTCAAATCGGCCTCAGTAGATCGCAACGCAATGTCTCATTTGCATCCTTCTATTCAAGTCTCAGAATTTTAATGCTGCTATTTTTCATTCGAGGCAATGTGGCTCTGTTCTCAACAAAGGGATGTTTGTTATGTCAAAGGCCTATTTTAAGAGACACTGTACGCTCTGCCAGTCTGGATTGCAGTCAATTACGAATTTTGAAGATACTATATCAAAAAAAGGCCCAAAAACCTAACAAATTTTAATTCCTGATTTTACGGCTGTCAGCACAGTTTGAAGAACTAGTTGTTCGTCCTGCCAGCAACAAAAATGGAGGGGTGGTACAAAATGCGAAATGAAAATGTGACGACTTGGCATCCAAAACCACCAAGATAATATTAGCAGCTCGTTAGATAATTGGCTGATTGAGGATATTGATAGGCTCTGGTCATCCAAAATATAGGAAGTGCGCAGATATTGTGTGCGCCTGCATATATCTCGGGCAATGATTCGCCACAAGATACCAGGAAGTTGAAGTGTGTCCGAAGCTGACATATATCATTGTCTTGTTTCTGTTGCACATATCATCTTGAATCCACAGCCTCATCATAGAATCGTTGAATCAGCTCATGAACTTCAATATATAAATATCTAAATTACCATAAAGTATTGCTGTCGACAATCAACGCTATTTATTAGAATATTCCTCTCGGGGAAACATGGACCCAATTACAGCCTTGGGAGTTGCGGCAGCTGTGATACAGTTCATTGATTACAGCACAGGAATAGCTTTGAAAGGAAGAGAGATTTATAAGTCTGGAGAGCTTGGGGCCAATGTTAAACTTGGGGAGGCGACGAATCGCTTGCAAAACTTAGTTGAGCCGTTAAGGAGCTCTCTTCACTCAGGAATTCAAAACGCACCTTCACCTTCACCAGCGGATGCCGATCGAGCCCTCAAAGATATCTGCACTAAATGCATCGACTTGTCCGAGGAACTTAGGGGTCTTCTTGGCTCCCTAAAGCTCAATCTAAGTGTTAAGCATCCCAGGCTAGCAAGCTTCCAGCAAGCAGTCAGGGCTGTTTGGAATGAAGAAAAGATACAAGGATTGAAAAGTCGTTTGGGTGATTTGCGTAGCAATCTCGAGACACATGTTCTTGTTGACTTGAGGTAAGTCCATGATCTTCTGAGCTAGTGAGATTAGAGGTGACTCGCGTACTCTTTACCAGCCCCTTCGTCCATACAATCGAATCAAACTTATTTAGTACTAACAGGGCCATTTAGATATCGAATGATCGAAGTCAAGCTCGAACAGGAAAACAATTTCAAAACGCTCGATAAAGCATTGCAAGCAATAATGCAAGAAGTCCTAGACAATCACCAGAGTAGTTTAACTAAGTTTGAGCAAAACTTCAATCACTTGAGGTTGTCGCAGGAGAAAGAGCATTCACACACTCGCAGTGTGCTTGTCGATCAACAAGCATCGAGGCATCGGCGTCAGGCGGAATTAAGTATTCTTGAAAGTCTCAAATTTTCATCGATGAATCTTCGGCATGAGACGATTACTGAAGCACATCAGCAAACTTTTGAGTGGATATTTTGCGATCCCGAAATTGAACATAAACCATGGAGCAATTTCAGCGAATGGCTGAAAAACGAGAATGGCATCTACTGGATTCATGGCAAACCTGGATGTGGAAAGTCAACCTTAATGAGATTTATTGTCGATGATTCTCGATCTCGTAGATACGCAGAAACATGGGCACATAATACTCCCCTGGAGACACCATCTTTTTTCTTCTGGAACAGTGGTGATGAAGCTCAAAGATCGCAATCTGGCTTACTTCGAAGTCTACTTTACGAGATTCTTGAGAAACATTGCACTCTCATACCCGAAGTATTTCCCAAGGAATGGAAGACCGCATTCGAGAATACCCTGCATAATGTCCCGATTCTGGCAACAAACTGGTCACTACCTGCTCTGAAAAAGTCATTCCGGAAATTGGTTGAGGAAACGTCTGAAAAACTGTCGTTTTGCTTCTTCATTGATGGTCTGGACGAATATGAAGGAGACTATTGGGAGATCGCAGAGTACTTTATCGAACTATGTGAATCGAAACACGCAAAATTTTGCTTATCCAGCCGGCCTGAGATTGCATTCTTGGATATATTCAGATGCATGCCACAACTAAAGCTCCATGACCTAACGGAATCCGACATCACAAACTACGTTCGAGATAGATTGGAGAATAACTTACAAATGCGAATTTTGATGAAGAATACTCCGTCGGATGCGTCGGCGCTGATAACCGAAGTCGTGGGTGACGGGGATGGGGTGTTCTTATGGGTTAGGCTGGTCGTAAATTCTTTACTTAATGGCCTCCGAAAAAGGGATGATATTTCAACGCTCAGAGCTCGCCTACGAGAAACTCCAAAGGAGATTGATGACCTCTATGACCGTATTTTATCGTCCATTGATCGAATACACATGATAGAGGCCTCGAAGATATTTCAACTGGAACTAGGTGCGAACGTAATCTTGTCAAAATCCACTTTTCTAAATTTGTATGCTGCCTACAAATTGAGCTTTAAGTCTTTCAATCAAGCTGTAATTGGAGACGAAACGTCCTGCTTTCGCCAAATGTCCCTCGAGGATTGCGGGGAGGATCTCGCCCATGTGTTACGTACCCGGTGTGGAGGGCTTTTGGAATTGGCCAAGAGCACAGGCAAAGTGAATTATATTCATAGAACCGCTCGGGAATACATGCACAAGCCCAAGACGTGGGAAATGCTCCTTACTCATACATCAGACCTGGAATTCGATCCATGGTTTACTTGGTCAATTGTGTTTTTAAACTTAGTCAAGGCGGGTACGAAGAATAATTCGCTTCTTTTGACAAGTATAATAGAAAAGGGAAAAAAATGGAGAGTTATGTGGAGTCACTTCACCTGGAACCTACGCAGAGTTACCTCAGCCAAAGCCAAAAGCCATATCCCCCAGTTGGTTGAGGAATTTGATAGAGCCGCTCAGCGGTATTCGGATTTTTGTAACCCATCTACCAACCAGCTGGAATATTGGAATAAGTCTCTCTATAAATCAACTCTAACTATTGATCATACTAATGTTAATTGTACCACCTATTATGGAAGTTGTCCTGGTCAAGATGTCTCCAAGGGCGACAGGGCGGATTTATGGAGTACGATGAACTTACTTTCGGCATGTATTGAAGATGATATATTTTCTTATGTTGAGATGAAGATAATATCAGACCCGTCTCTGATGCGACTGAAATATTATCCTCCTCTGATGGTACTCTGCTTTGGTCGACTTTTACTTGAATTTGAACAAGGCTTCCCCAGTTCGAGATTACTGGTGTTTCTGTTGGAAAACAACGCTAATTTTAATGAGATATATCACGGTCACAGTTTGTGGAAAATATTTCTTCACGTTGTGCATACTAGATTCATTCATGTTTTGCATACTAAATCCATTATTCATTTTCATTCTGAGCACCCTGACGATCTTAATAATATTTTTTGGGCAATGGAAATCATGCTCCAGCGCGGAGCCGATGTTGAAGCGTGTTGTATTGGAGAAAATATGACATGGTATGAAGTGTTTCCCGATCGACCAATTCATTGTAGAGCTTTAGAACAACACTGCAAACAGCCGCTTGAATGCCAGGGTGTTGTTGACATCGGTTCGAGCAATCCGAGCGACGACAGCGCAAGCCATATCAGCGAAAACTATAACGAGCCGTGTGAAGTACGACATTCCTTAGAACGGATCATTAAGGATGGATTTGAAAAAAAGCGACCGGACCTTTCGGCGAACCTACTAAGCCTAGTTGCGCAAAAGAAGGCTGAGAAACTAGCCATTGAGAAGCAGAGTCGAAATCAACCACCTGGCTCATCTGGCGGGAATAAAGGACGGAAACAAAAGCATAGAAACAGGAAGAAAGGCAAAGGAAAGCGTGGTCAGATTGCTTTGGCAGACGATTCTGATTACTGAAGGGCTCGAAAGAAAGGGTTATTTTGATGGGTCGGCCTGAAATACTTCGAAGGGATTGGATGAATATGTATATTGTGGAAAACAAGGAACATTCACTTCAACAAAGTGCTGTGCTTCTTAGTTCATGGAGATGTTACAAAGCATCCTTCTTGAAATTCAATCCGAAACTTGAGGGACTTCTACTTGTGGATAAAGGGGTATTGGTTTGATATGTTGAAGATTTTATGTTTTAATGTTGTAAAAGCTCGGGGTTTTATTGTTCTTCTGCGGCGTAATGATCGATGTTATTTTGTGGGCGTGTCGAGACCGTTAATTAATCATTTCATCCTCGAACATATTGCCTTGATCAAGATGTTGATGAGATGATCTAGTGATCCAGTCTAACGTCGCTCGGGCTGCGAGAATATTACTTCACGTGACTCTACGTGTATCAAAAAAACGTTTCCTCTTTCTCACTGTGACTATAGAAGACTTGTATGTAACCTCTTCGTAATTGCAGAGTAATAATTTATCAGGAAAATAGTATCCTCAGAATTGCTGGGAAGAAATCATGGATGTCATGTGGTTACATGCACTTGGCGGGGTCGATCGTGATCGGATTCGTCTTCGTCTATGCAAAACTGTTGGTAAAAAGTTATATCTATCAAAGCAGAAAGCTGTCCAACATCTAATTTTTATTTATTATATTCCTACAAACTCTTACTCCACAAACTAAAGTTAATTCGATTCGAACATTCCTTGTTGATTTTCTACAGTTTTCCTGTTCCGTCTACAGCTTCAGGTCCATCCGTTCAGATGATTCGAGCTCCTCATAATCTACATTATTCTCGATCAACAAAAAACACCACATCATCCAACATCCACAATTTACCATCTCTTTCTCCTCATACCACCACCACCACCCCGTCCCACCTTCATAATCTCATCCAACGCGATCCAAAACCAGAATTTCTTCAAATATTCCCACCCCTGCCTCTTCGTTCGCTCTGGCGTAACACTCCAACCCACTATCCACAATGCCGCGATGACCAGACTGACCACACCCCTCCTGATAAGTTCTACTCCTGCCCATTCAACCGCTATCAATCCCAACCCTTCCATCAACACATATTCCCAATATTTCGAAGGCTCGTATATCCAGATCACATCCCCAGTCGATTGTACGATATTTCCGTTTGAGATCATGGTACGATTACCAGTCGGGAGAATTATGGCAATGGGATAAGCTTGCACCGCAACTTGCCATTGAAAAAACATGGCTGCAAAGAGGAGGGCGCCGGCGAGAATTCGATCGAGGAACAACGAGCCTTCGATTGAGGAGGTGAGCCATGCTATTGGACTGAACGGAGTTGCAGTAGTGTAAAGAAGAACAATCATAGCCACAGCAGAAAACTTTCGAAAGCCGGTCGATTTCAGGATTTGGCTGGAGGCACCTGTAGGCATGCTAGGCATGGGGCTACTTTGAGGTTCTGCTTGTTTGACCATCTTGTCTTCGTTTGAACAATTGTCGCTCTGTCTGTTTGTTTCTTGAAGCTATTGCTACTCATATTGCACACCAGCGTGCGCAACCTTTCTTTTAAACTCATGATTTTGGATATCCATCGTGGTGTGGGTCGCATTGCTGCCTTGAAGATATTCCGTATTTGGTCGAAATTGCGGCACAGCTGCCTACAGGAACATTTTTTACGGCGTAGTCCCCGAGTGCACCAATAGATGGTATTGAACTATCGTAAAAATCATAACCTTCTGGCAATTCACTGCTTACTGCAAGGCAGAAATCGCACTTATGGAGCGAATGCTGTAAGGCAATTGGAAGATATTCGTATCCATGAAATTAGACGACTACCTCATATATAATCGACGATTCGCAGTGCTCCTCGTGTATTGTGGTCGTAATCACTCACAATTCCAGTTAGCTTTGCAATGCTTTCGGATTCGTTGCCTTTGAATATCGGTATGGTGGTATTCAAGTCAGATTGTGCCCAATATGGTGGTGCCGAACTTTATGCTTATTACCTACTTAGGTAGGTATGTAAGATTATCGATCGCCAATAGATACCGAATCATACATGGGATTATGACGATGGCGTCAATCTTTTCAGACATTCAGAGTTTATCGACAGAATTTGTACTTACTTGTTTCTACGTCTATACATACAATCAATCCCTAGACCGATCATCATTTTTCATCACGTACCACGTCTGTTCATGAAGCGCTGAATGCTCAGTTTTTGGTACCTTGTTGTCTATCAAACTGAATACCTTGGTAATATCCAATACTGCGTTAGTAAAGGCGGATACTTACACACTGCCGCGTCAAGTATCTTATAGAACGGTAAAATGAAGAATTTGGTGTAGCAGATAGTTGGTCGATCCGGAAAAGTTGTACGATTAGCGCATTTTATATGTCTCCTTTATCTGAACCCTACAAGTTGAATCTTAGCATTAGAGAGTTCTTCGGGTCTCTGATACCCCTCTAAATTCTCAGTAGATTTTTAAATGTCATAATTTGAACATGTTGTGTTCTCATCATACAATTCATATCGCATCAACTAAACTCTACAAAACACCAGTTCTCCATTAATAACTTAATTTTATTAATCTTCTATTTGCCCTGAGACTCCGATGCCATCTGATATGTACGACTTACCTGTGAATTAATTTACCTTTTGGGGGAGGGGACTTACCTATATAATAATATCTTACCTTTCCTTTTCCTCCATCGGAGAATCTGCCTTGTTATCCTTTAAACTTACCGATTCCCTCCTCTTCTTTCTTACCTACCAACATAATTTATACTCCAGTTCATCCTTCTATTCCTCCCCACCTAACCAACATGTCTCCCATGCAAAAGCACATCCTCCCAGCCATCCTTCCTCATCCTCTCCCTACTCCTCTCCCTCATCCTCCCCGCCATCTCAATCGCCTCCCTCTCCCTCATCTGCCTCACCCTTTCCCGCTCCAAATCCCCCCTCTCCCTCTCCAACTCCTTCCTCTCCTTCCTCTTCCGCATACTCTTACAAATACAACACCTAATCACACAATACGCCACAAAAACCGCTACGATAATCACCGTGATGATCGCAGTAAGACTCCCAGAAGGACGAGTAAATACTCCTTTATCAGCGGTAGATGTTGCTGATGCGGTAGCGCTGCTAGAGATGGTAGAACTGGGTTTGGATATGATGGAGGTGGAGAGTGTGGAGGTGGGGATGCCTTTGGGGGCGGAAGTGGATTTTGGAGGGAGGATCTCGATAGAGGGGATTCTGGTGGCGGAGGCGGTTTCGATGGCTTTGGCGATGGTGAGGGGGAGGAGTGTTGTGATGGATGCAGGTGGGTTGAGGAGGCTTGAGGCGCTTGTTTGTGGGGGTGGTGCGGGTGCCATGTTGTTGTTGTTGTTGTTGTTTTGAGTTTGGTTTGTTCTTGAGTGTGTTTTGGATCTTTATATTTTTATACTTTTGTTTCTTCGTTTGCTGGAGAAGTATATATATAGGAGCGAGTGTATAGGTATAGTGATCGACTTTATATTTTATTTATCAATTTGTATATTTATTTGTTGTGTTTTATAGTATCACAAATCAAGAATGGACACATAAAACCGCAAGGACGGGAAGGTATATATAAGATAACTCAAGACGATGATTAAGAATCGCACAATAGGAATAAAGACTCTTTATTACCTTCCTCTCGAGTGTACGCAACAGAAAAAGAAAAGAAGTTTTCCATTACAAGAGCTCTTTGATAGAGATGCTCTAGAAAGCAGCGATGGGAGTCTTTGTAGGCTGACAATAGAGAATATGTTTATATTGCAAAGGGCTTTGTGAGAGGATAGGAGAGAAAAAGTAATATCGAAGATTACTTTGTTGAGAAATATATCTCGAGGATAGGAGAGATATTCTTAGAAATGATTGTACCGGGTGAAAGAAAATGATATGTGTACTGGATAGGATAGGGATATTTGTTCGCCTGGGTATTCTATATTTGATCTCACCAGTACATACATCTATTTCGATTCCTCATGACTCGCATCTATAAATACTTACTTATTATTAGGTATGAAAAAAAACGTGAAGGCTACCTAACCAAGTACCCGACACCAGAAGGAAAAATCAAACATACAAAGAAAATTCATATTCCAAGCTATTTTCCCCTCACCAAGTGCATCGCTCACAACTCGGTACTTACTTCGAACCTCACTTGGTTTTGTTTCTCTATGTTGTAGGTATGATTATAAATTAATATATGTATGTGTAGATGTATAGAGATAAGTAAGGATGCGTGCATCGCACCATCACTGTTGCTTAAAAAAATTAAGCACTATCAAGCTAGTTATGCAAATACCGCTATCAAATTCCAAACGTATCCTATGGTATCATTTCCTGCGTTCCCGTTCCCGTTCCCATTCTATCCCATTCTATCCCTTCCCTTCTGCACCAAACCATCAAACAGTCCATCAAAAATTCTATCCAAAACAGAAATGAGGGGTAGCTCAATTCAGGACACATGACATCTCGTCAGTATATGGATGAATCATCCAGTGAATTCCAATCTGACTCGAAAGTACCCTGTAATGAATAACACCACTCATCCTACACAAATTTGATCTCTTTATCTTCCAAATATGCTGAATCACCTCTTTCTCGCCCCATATACACCGTTCCATTAACCTCAATCCTGTGCCATGCATTTCCTGCATTCGCGTTTCCATTCACATTCGTGGAAGTTGTATTTCCACTTCCGATGGTATTGCCCCCTCTCAAACTCTCCGTCCTCCACTCACTCCTCTCCTCATCCCCACTCCTCTCCCTCGAATGATACGACGGAACCGGGCTCTCCGTCCCCAGCATCTCTTCTTTCCATGCCGCCCTCTCAGACCAGTGATTATCCCTCTCACTCTGCCTCTCATACTCCATCTCCAACTCCCTCTTCTCATCCATCGAATCCACACTCCCCGAACTCCCGGACCTCGCTGGAAATGGTCTGCTAATCTCACTTTTCCTCACCGTCCCATTTCTTCCCACACCCAATTTACTCCCGTTTCTCGCAACTCCATTTGCGTCGCCTCCCAGAACCTTCCCCATCATTTCATTCTTGGCTCTCTCTTCCTCTTCACGTTCCTTTTCCTTGGCTTTGGCAAGTTTCTTCTGTATCCGCTTGCCGCGACATACTAGACACCATGTCAAAATTCCGGTGATAATAGCAATAGCGGCGATGAACGCGAGGATGGTACCCCAGAAATTAAATTGCACCTGCCAGAATCCTTCACTGGAGCCGGAAGTAGGAGGGGATTCCGCGCGGGTAGTGAGGGTTGGGGCGTTGAGAGTGGAGGAAAGGCGTGGAATATACATGGTGGTTTGATCTGATGTTTATGACGTTTCCGATGTAACGAGTGGGTAGGATATGTATCTTGTTCTCCGCCAGTAAATTTGTACAAAGTCGATCGGACCGATTGATCAACCTGAAAGGTAAATGATATTCTATCCAGCAATGCGAAAGTAATCTCTTGTAAGTTCGAAAATCAAATGTTGATCCAGCAATACTGAATAGGTAAAATGTAAAGTGTCCAAAAAAATATTGAAAGAAGTTCCAATCAGTTCCAAAGTTCAAACTAAGTTCCAAGCCCCGGGGTGGTATCAATAACTTTATGATTGGGTTCCCAGGCTGAGTCAAAGAAATCTATTTCGCAGTGGGCGAAGATTCACACAAAGACTTTGTGTTGTGATCTTGTGATGATGATGTTCGTGATAGGTGTAGTTGAGATGATATATTCTTGACCCCCTCTCTGAAAGGAAATATTTTTCTCAAAGAAACCGAAACGGGTGTTGAAAGAAGGTGGCTTTGTTGGAGTGATGGTTGAAAGACTGGATAAAGAGATATCTATCAGATAATCTCCCTTGTGTAGTGTTATGCTGTAATGTCTTGAGCTCGAGCCTGTCGAGTCGATAAAGAAGTTGTACAAGTTGTATTGTATGCGTTGTAAATGTTGTACAAAGAATATCTCAAGGAAGAAATTCCCTTTCCAATTCCCAGAAGACTAATCTCGTCAAGAGACACAGTAATGATATCTGTAATGAATCCCCTCTTCAAATCTTTTTCTAAAATTTCCCACTCATAAAATAATCTCTCCTTGGAATAAAAAGAAAATGTTCCACAAAACCAGTAATATCAGAACAGGACAAGAAGATCAGACGAACTAACCAAGGGGAAATTGAAACGAAACAGGAATTCACCCATCTTCATATATCGTCAATCACCCTCTCAAAATTCAATTATTGCATATCCACCTAACGCATTGTCTCATCCAACTGCACTTAGTACGGCTTGCCACTTGCTAAGCCCACCCAATCACAATCTTCCCTCCTCATCAAGAAGGAAAACAAAAGGTATAGAAAAAGTTAATCAATATGCCACGACGCCGTTAAGCTTACTCGCCATTCTCGGGCTGGCTCCGTCGTGTTTACGGAGTCGTCGTTCGCGATATACAGTATTCATCCTGGCAGTCTTTCGAGAAGAGAGGATACCAAGACCGGCGTTCGATATCTGAACGGATATACGCCGAGACGTGCAGACTTTGTGAGACTGAGATATGTAAGTTCTCCGTACCGGGTTCTGTATATCTCCACCAACATCCAAGCTCTCCTGGGTCCTCTATAACCCTTTTGTGTTTTATGCACCCATTCTTGCTCCAAACCTTTTCCATAAGTAGTCACCACCTCCATTTATCCCTCCGACAATCCCCCAATGCAGTAACACATCTCCATAAACCAATGATCTCCCATACACGGAGACAAGCGCACGACACTTCAACTCTCCACCACTTCTTCAAATATATGATCATCACCCCCTGACGCCGTTTCCCCTCCAAGCCACCATTGTCTCCCGTCCCATCTCTCATTTTAAAATCATCCACCCATACTTACGATTTCGAAACCTCAATGTAAGCTTGGCATCGCGCTTGGCGTCCCCAATTGGCTCTCATCCAATCTTACACCGAGACCATCCCGGCCAATCTTCACTTGCGCACTCTACCGATGCCAAGATAGATCCATGTGCTTGGACTTCCAACTCCACCCCGAAATATGAAACGGGTGATTCGGAACAACACAAGTTACACAACTGATCTTGATTCTTGACATTCACGAGAAAGAACGAGATTCGAAAAAAAGTATTCTCAAAAGAAACTGGAAGGAAATCAGAAGAGTCAAAAGAGCAAGAAATCCGAACATCGAACCACGTACACAAATTCACAATACATACTTGGACTCTGTATTACACGCCCGCAAATGACAAAAAGTCAAATAAGATAGTCTCCCATTTGCACCCCACCCATCCTAGGATCAAAATAAATGATATTAACCAGAACGACAACCAATTTCCAAAGAATCATTTAAGATTCTTTTTCGAATCAATATACATAGGTAACTAAAACCCTAGAAGCGATCTAAAGGAAAATGGTTGTAGAATTGTAGAATTATATATTACAGAATCTCAGAATCTCAGAATCTCAGAATCTCAGAATCTCAGAATCTCAGAATCTCACCTACCTACGAGCCTACCTACCACACAAAGGGGAGAAAATCCAATTGGCCACCACTCAAGGGTAAGGTTACAGGATCCTTTTCAAACTTCATTCATTCATACAATTAATTCAACAGGTAATTAGTAGCAAAATAAATATAAATACCGATCCTTAGCAACTCCCCCTTTGTATCATTTTCTCAGTACAAACTACCAGGTACAAACTACAAACTACAAAATATCCAACTCCTCACATTATCACGTATAATATCATTCATTATCTGATCTCAATGATTCCTTACGAGCTCACACAGCCCAAAAGTAATAAGATTACATACATACACTCAACTCAGTACATCTCATCTCTACCACTGCGAGAACCAATTGTAGTTCACCATCTTGATTCTTGCAATCCATACATACATACATACATACATACCTACATATCTAGGTATATCCAGCTTCGAACTTTCATGAATACTTTCTAGCTGCACCAGTACCACGAGTCCCTCTACATACCTACCTACAGGAAAGATAGATACGTTATTTTCCCTCGAGAAATCTAGAAACTCACACCCAATCTTCCCAATATTCAGATCGCCATCCACAGTCAACCACATATATAACAACCAACGTACTCGAGAATAACTAACAAACCACAAAACCCCCTTCCTCAAAATCTCAAAATTCACGTCTCAAATTTCAAAATCTCAAATTCCAACTCCCAATTCTTCATCTATAAAAAAGCATTCATAATTTTTTTAACTATTAATACAAATAAATCTTTTGCAATCTCTAATACCTGGTACTATGCATAAAAATCACAACCACAACCACAACCACAACCATAATAATAATCAAAATATA